AAAACCACTTTCAGCACTCCGTATGGGCATTACGAGTTCCTTCGCATACTGTTCGGCCTAAAAAACGCACTCGTGACATTCCCACGGCTCATGAACACGCTACTAGCAGGGTTGCAAGGTATCAACTCATTTGTTCATCTAGACGACATTGTTATATACGCGAACACACTTGAGGAAAACGAGGAAAAATTCAACCTGCTGGTGGATGGACTATGGCAAGCTGGACTCAAATTACAAATTAACAAATGCGAATTCTTAAAAAAATCCGTCCTATATCTCGGACACGTACTAAGCGAAGAAGGTCTTAAACCTGACCCAAAGAAAATCGAAGCGGTTAAAAGGTACCCGGTCCCAGAATCCCAAAAAAATGTTAGACAATTTATATGATTCGCAGGGTACTACCGAAGATTCATAAAGGATTTCGTGAGGATAGCTAAGACCTTGACAAAGCTACTGCAGAAGGATGTAGACTTCGAATGGACCCAAAACATGCAGAAATCCTTTAAAACACTAAGAGATATTATGTGTAATGCCCCAGTACTTCAATTCCCAAAATTAGATGAACCACACAATATCACAACCGATGCCTTGGGCTACGCGATAGGGGGGTACTGTCTCAAGGCGAGATAGAAAAGGACAAACCTATCGCCTATACATCTTGAGTATTGCGGGGACCCGAAATTAACTACAAGGTTTTCGAAAAGGAGGCACAAGCCATAGTGCACAGCGTCAAGACTTTCAGAACATACGTTTTCAGGTGCCCGATTACCATCATCACTGACCATCAACCTCTAGTCTGGTTAAAAACAGCTGATCTTAACACCAGAGTCATTAAGTGGTGATTTAAATTATCCGAGTATGATTACCGCGTCGTAAATAAACCCGGCAGGTTAACGGAGATTGCATTTCCATAACGGAGATGCGTTGTCAAGGAATCCGATTAAAGAAATTAACATAGTAACTAGAGCACAAAAAAGAAGCGCAGAAAACGAATCAAAGAATATCCAAACTGAAACGCAAGGACAATTCCCAAAGTCCGCCAAAGAACTTACAAAATCGGAAACGACCGAACCCTTACCCCCCAGTGCCCCCCGTACCATGACCAACAAAAGCTACGTTAAAAACCAAACGATCAAGGGCCCCGTCAAAAGACGACGGCACAACAAACGACCTGGGGTTAAAAATCATGGAAACTTCTAACTCAATGCAAAACATGTCATCAAGCACGTATATTTTGTAGACACTTCAGGCAACCCCTTAGATGGAGGTGGAAAAAAACTGTTAGAAGCCAATCGAATCCACGACGGATATCATTTGGATCCTGGAGAGGTCAAAAAAATAAAAAAGAATAACCAAATCTCCCAATATCAATTACTGAAACATACAACAACATACGTTCCAATCTAAAGATACTCAAAGCTCTAACTGTTAAACACGATTTAGATTATATTTGCCTCGATAAAAGTCAATGTATGGAAAATTTAGAATGGCCAAGAATCCTGCACTTACTTGACGTAGCGTTCATAGACCAAGTAATAAAAATACTCATTTGCCTAGGAAAAATAAAGTACGCGACAACAACTAGGAGAGACGATATCTTTTGTGAACTACATAAATCGCCGATTGGTGGACACCGAGGAGTATCAAAAACTTACAATCGAACAAAACAAAAATATTACTGGGAAGACCTAAAAGGAGACGTCCAGCGTTGAATCCGACAGTGTTTGGACTGTCAATTAACAAAACTCGTATGGGTGATAACGAAGCAGCCAATGTGTATCACGGATACACCCGGCGTAACATTTGATAAACTCGCTATGGATATAGAAGGACCTGTGAAGAAAACGAAAAACGGTTTCGAGTACATCCTAACAATACAAGACCAGCTCTCAAAGTTTTGCTTTGCCGTCCCGCTACGAAACATGCAATCATCAACAGTAGCAGACGCTTTCATTAAGCGAGTCATTTGCATCTTTGGCTCGCCTAAGGTAGTTCTGACGGACGAGGGCTAAAATTTCCTTAGTAACTTGATACAGCATGTGGTGAAACGCTTCATAATTAAAAGGGTCAGGAAAACGTCTTTTCACCCTCAATCTAATGGATCGTTAGAGAGATCACACCACGCCCTAGCAGAATTCCTTAAACAGTATACCAACGCTGACGACGGTCCTCACAAGATCCTCGAAATCCTCCCAAAACACTAAGTTGGAATAAAGCACGAATCTAATAGTAAAATTGTTCACTCGAATCGGTTAAGAAATTCCTACATTGTTCCGTGACCCATATTGTAATTATACCCAATTATTAACATCGTTTTTTGATTACAGAGAAAGAAAAATCACGCTATAGTCAAAAGGGAAAATGTCAACGATAATGATCCTACTAACGTTTTTAATCCTCACAACACCAGTGTTGGGGCTTATTGGGTATGATTGCGGTACACGAAACTCCAACACAACAACAATGTCCTTAAAGTAGCCGATGTAAAAGTAGTCGAGTGTGAAGTCCCGCAAGACAACATCACCACTACGAAGCAGTACCTGCAGCTGCTGCTAATCAATGAATTCACCGAAGTAGCAATAATCCAATTTAACGTAGAAATAGAACGAGAGGTAAAGGAGTGCCACTGGTTCAGTTACGTATCCAGTATCTTTGTAAGGTAGAAAAATAGGACTAGAAGAGGCAGGATAGAAGCAGAGAGAAATAGAGAGAGTCTTCGAAGCCAACTGTGCTGCAGTCATCGCGACGATCCGGACGAACTCGAGGTGGCATTGAGTACGAGAGATAACGAGGATTGTGGAAAGGTAAAGGTACGTGGAATAGTGCATTGGGTAGTATACCAGGGCAAGTGGTTAGGACGATCCGAATGAGGGAGTCTGGGTGTGCAGGCGTGTGAAGGGAGAAAGAGAGAGAAAGCAGAGAGACGTGTGTGTCGGTGTGTGTAAGTGTAGAATAGATTTCGTGGGGACTAGTTAAGGTGTTGGCGGGATTCTTAAGGTGGTGAGACGCGCGCGGAGATATAGTAATAAGTACGAGGTGTGTAGGAGATTGTGTGTGTTCGGGTGTGTGTGGTATAAGCGCGGGCCTCCGAGATTGAGCCTAGGACGCGTTTGACAGTGAAGACGACCTATATCGCTACGGAGATACACGAAGATATTTACCTGGCAGATTATGTGCTTATACTGATATACGTAAGAGAGAGAGAGAGAGAGAGAGAGAGAGAGAGAGAGTGCTGAGAGTGTAGTTAAGGGTGGAATAAATAGTGCAGACGCGCTGCTAAAAGTATAATTCGTGTCTTATGATTCTTGTCTGGTGTTCCCGAGCCAGACACGTGTGGCAGACCTCTCGGAGGAGAGAAGTCCAAAGGGACAGGGTAAGTGACGTATAAGAGAGAGTTTTGTGAGGGGATACTAGAATGGCCCTTACGGCTGAAAAATCCTCGTCACAACCCATCCGCATCATTTGGGCAAGAAGGCCCATTGCATCTGGGTTGACTGGGAGTATCTTTTCCTCATCTCGGACTCATTAGCAGCACTCACTACCAACCGGCCTGGCCTACGCACACAGTCGTTCCTTTTTTCTTACGGAGAGTATTCCTTCATTCTGTCTCTTCCCTTTTCTCTTTGTGGAGTTTGTTCTGGCGGTACTGCCAGGACAAATTCCCGTAGTCATAGTAGGAGTAATCGTGTTCTGGCGATCACCAGGACGCCTTGCTCATCATAAACTCTGCCACCTTCGGTGTTTGTTCTGGTCAGCCTAGGACGAACCCCGACTCCACTTCTCAATCAGACTACCTTAAGCTGCCAGTCAGGAGCTAGACCTCTCCCTTCGAGGAAGAGTCAGGCATCCACGTAAGAGTGACAGTGGGTTCAACGCCTGTCCTCGAACCAACCCAGCCGAATAATCCAGACCCCTTGATCAAAGCACTACCCAGCCTACGGCATTGGGTTGCTAGGGCTAAAGTTTCAAAAATGTATCCTGCTTTTTACGCTGGACGTAGCAATAGCAAGAAATATGCGTCTAGGGAAGGAAAAAAGTTTACTCTAATAGCCGATGATTGATAATATTAAGGATAAATGAGTATTTGTTATAGTCTAATTTTCTGAGCAAAAACATTTATCCTGTAAAAAAAAAGAGTCAAACAAACACATATCGTATAGATATGTGAAAAAACTACAAATTGCTAATTGTAAATGCCATGTCAACATCTACAAACTTTTTATAAAAGCGATCATTTAAAAAATCCACACAGTCCCGTATCAAAAAATTGAAAAAGGTACAAAATAGTGATTAGAGTACCGCTGATCGATATAGAATCAAATGACACCTTTTATGTAATATCAACAGTTCCCCAAGCAATCAACAAACTCTCCATTATCTACTGAAGTGGGCAATAAATATCAACATAGCACATTAGTACAGCAGCTAGGGGGGTTTTCGTAGCCGATTGACTTCCACGAGAACGAGTAAGCATTCTCGATGTATTTTTGCCAGCAGAATCCGAAACTTGTTTTTTCGTGAAATTGTTCCAAAAATCGTTATTATTAATTGAAATGTTTGATGATTTGATTCAAGATTTGAACCACCGACCTCTTGCACCCAAACTGAGTCCCTTACCCATTCTCCTTGAAAATTCGAGTACTTTTTGTTATGGTATGATTTGTAACTTATTTTTAATGTAAATATTTATTTCTTGTTTAATAATTAATTGAATGTGATTATAAATTGCATCAATAAGTAAGTCATTCATTTAATAAACTAATTTTTTTTTAATAAATGATTTTTTTTAAACTTAACAATTAGTATATTTTAGCAGATTAGCTTCCCTGTGTATGATAAAATATTAATTTATTAACCATTAAATTGTTACTTTTACAATAAATAAAAAAATAAGAAAATAATTGCTTGTATATATTTTTCAAAATTCATAAAAATTATAAAAACTGCTTTCATACCTTATGAGCATTTCTCTTATAGTCAAATTTCTGTTTGTGTTAAAGGATATAACATTACATAAATTAATGGATGCTGAAGATATTTTACAAGAATGTAAAAGTCAAAATAAAAAGTTACTTGAATAGTAAGTATTTATTTTTATATAGTTATTCAAATAAATAAAAATTGATGCAACTTATAATTTCAGTTTAACAAGATCAACAACTTTAGAAGAACTTGTAAATTTGATAACGGAAGAACCTTCTATGGACTTGGAAGAACGTTGGCGTTATAAATATTCAAATGTTGCTTGTGAATTACTCACCAGTGATGTTCCTGTCCTGACCGAGAAATTAGCCAGTAACTTAGATTTTTATTTGTTTTATGCTACAAAAATCTTGAATAAAATAAATAAATTTACTCTATTTTTACTGGTCCATTAGGTAATGAGATACTACTATCCAAACTATATTCTTTCATTGATAAGGAAGAACCTTTAAATCCATTGTTAGCGTCTTTTTTTAGTAAAACAATTCATTCACTATTAAGAAGAGCTTCGGATCAGGTATATTATTTCAACAAGATTTTAATAAACGTAATCTTCAGCTAGCATGCAAAAGGAATTTTTGATTGTTTAATTTACAATATTTTTCAGAACTGGATTTCTCATCAGTTTGTGTGCCTTCAAGTTTTAGAGTCTCTTAAAAGTCGCAAAAATTGTGTTGATTTATTACTACAACACATACAGACTTCTGCCATAATGGATTTAATTCTAATACTTCTTACTAAAATTGAAGGTGATGAAATGCGTCAGAACGTATTAAATGTAAGTTAGTAAGCTCTTTCAATGAATTAATCAAATTTATTCATGTGAATTATGTAATTAGTAAAAATTAATTTTTTTAGTGGTTTGATGATCAACAGTTTGTTCAAAGATTAGTAAAACTATTGTCTTCATCTTCTGATAAAAAAAAACATGCTAATGCTTCACAATTACTTTGTGACATCATAAAACTACCACATATAGAACCAGAAAAACGACCTGACTTAATGTTACGCACATTGCAATCGTAAATATATTTTTATTCTTAATTACTCAATTTATTGCAATTCTTTTCTATATTCTGTGAACGAAAAACAGCAATAACGTGTTAAAGTAAAGTCGATATATTTATATTTTGCACAAAATTTACGTTAAAACAAATTTTTAATGTTTTTCAGCTATTTCCGTAGGCCCAGAAGTAGACTAGTTAAGCACAAAAAATGTTTTTTTGTTTGTTTTTTTTTTCATCCTTACATTCACTCTTATCAGCACATAAATATTTTATGTCTACTCAAATACGAATAAAAAAGACATAAGTGCATACATAAGAAAGATGTGTTTGTTGTTTGAATATTAGAGATAATGTGTTCAGGTAAAAAGTTAGCCAAGCTTGTTTGCAATATTTATAAATCATTTTTATTTTTTTACGCAAACTGCAACTGCCGCTTTTATCCTTTGGTAAGAAAAAACATATGCATGACTCAAGCATAAACAAAATTCTTGCGCCTTCCCTACAACAAAATGTTTGATACAGAATTATTGAAGCTTATTAAAATAAAACTTTTTTTTTAGTAAGTTTTTCTTTCCAGTGCTATGTTAAAACTCTAAACATTGAAGATTGTTTTAAAATAGTTAAAAACTCGTTTAATAGCATCCAACTTTTTGTACATAGCGTTTGCATATAAAGTATTGAATACATAAGTCGTAGATTTTATGAAAAAATTTTTCTTAATTCTGATTATTTTTATCCAAAGTATCCCAACACACCAGACTATAAAAATACCTTGCCTTCGTTTATCTTCTGTCTAGCATTCTTTAGTATATCATCTCCTTATCATTACCTTAATTTCTTCGTTGCTTCCTTTTAATTTCTCTATTAAAAGATTTGAGTTTTCTGTGCCTGTACAAGGCAACGTATGCAAAAAAAAGCGTACGCTTCTTTGCCATACAATAAACTATCACCTCTTATGTGTCTTTGCCAACCTTATCTTCAGCTTGGCCAACAATTAGCCTTACAAGCAATGATTAGTTTACTTTCTAGTTACTTGAAAGCATTACTAAAAACGGAGTGTGGTCAATAAAGTATCCCTGTGTGGCTGTTGTAGCTTGGACTGCTAAAGCAACTAATTGCCAAACTAAGTTAGTATGAGAGCTAAGCAGAAACTGTTTTGCAGCTCCAGGCAAATGTGTAGGTTACATTACTTACTGTAGGTAAGAAAACGTATGTTTGAATAAAGAACTGTTGGTTATAAGTATTAATAATACATGTCAAAGATACCGTTATGCAACAGTTATAGAGGAAGAACCATGGCTGCTCTCCGTATATAAAAGTATAGTCTGCATCAATCACTTGTTTTTACGAAGTACGCTTTGCTCAGTTTGTGTCCAGTTACACTTGTCTGGGGCTGCCCAGCAGTTTCTGTTTGTATCTCAGGCTAACCTAGCTTAATAGGTAGCTGCTTGGGTCGATAAAGCTACTTCAGTAGAAGTTGAACTGTTTCGCTGCACTTTATTTTCAGATTAGGTCTGCTTGCGACCAAACTAAATTCTGCGTGGCAGTGCTAAAGTTCTAAGCAAATGTGACTGCTCATAAACCAAGAAAAATGTGATCTGTACAATCAAGTCATCAATAGATTTTATCTGTTAATCGATCGATTATTTCGTATTATCATGTGCGCAAGTAACATGTATAGATATCTAATTTTTAAAGATTAAGGGAACTGACTAAATGACTAAATATTGTAATTTTGAAATTATACAATTCTTGAGTGGTGGCTATGATAAAGCTTAATTGTTAATAAAATAGATTACATTGTGTTACTGAAAACTTACAGATGTAATAATTAAATATTTTTATTTTAAAAAAATATTTAAGATAAATTACAAAATATATTTCGGTATGAAAAAATACTCATCATTTGCATTCTGAATATTAAAATCGATAACAGCTTTCAGAATAACAATTGATAGATCTCTTTCTTAAAAAAATGAAATGTTATTGATGTACTAAAAATTAATTCAAATAAATTGTACCTCCTAAAAATTACCTTTTAACTAAAAATACAGGCCAAGTAAGTCTAATAACATAAGTTTAAAATTTAATAATTTTTTGAAGTCTTTATACGGTGTCCATTTATTATATTTTTTTGAATTAATCCTTTGCCTTCCAATCTGATGAAACATTTTTTTTAGTGCAGCATAGTTTTTGTGCAATACAGGTATATTAAGCGAGCCCAACATGTATATGTCCAGTGATAAACGTATTCAAAGACGTCAAGCTAGCACTACACTTAGTATATTTCTACATAGAATCGGCTAAGAGAAATCATACAAGCACTCAAATTCGTCATTTATCTGTCTTTGAATGACAGCGCGATTGTTATTTTCATCGCCAGCCCAGCGTCTAGCTGTCCAGCGATAGTCCTCTTCAAGACATTTGTTGTACGCTGAGAGAAGTGCTAGCTTGACATTAGACTAGCAGTATGTGAATTTATTATTAGCTCGCTAGAGCAAAAAGTTCGTAAACAGTTAGTAAATATTGAGCGACAAATTATAGTGCTCATTAAAAATGGAAAATTTAACTTAGTAGTGCTCTTTAAATATGCCTATATTATACTATCTTGAACCTGAACATTAAAAAAAAAATCAAAAGAATTAATTCTTATCTTTAAATTCTAGTACGCGTAAACTAAATATGTTATAATAATGCCTCAATGTTTCTATACACTTACACGTAACACCACATAAAATTCAAGATGTGAAGTTTGCTTGTAGTAACGATCTAAAGTAAACATTACTTAGTTTGATTTAGTTTGATTTGTACGTATTGAAATGAAGGTAAGAATAATAATAACGTAAATGTAATTAAGCTTAAACAATTTCGTTAACTCAGAGCGATGCACGCTTTGTTGAAGTTGCCTGACTTCTCCTGTGAAATGGTGATACAGACATTCTTATAGTATTCACATGTTTTACAACACACCTTCTTAAATATATAATCTGGCCTATTTACAAATTTTTTTCTTATCGTATCACTTTATTTTATTTTTTTTATTTCACTAAATTTCTTTTTTTACCCTATTTTGTGTGTATCTTTTTTCTATTTGACTTTTTTTATTCAGACTTTTAGTTATACATAAGATATATTATCTAGATTATTTTTGGAATCAATTTCTACAATATTTGGATTTTTAATGTTATAATTTTTGTTTGCACGGTAATGTTTTACTTAAATGTAGTTTTATTTTTTCGCAAAATTTACATACGCAGCTATAGCGGTTGCCTCTCATTTGTGTTCATGTATGTTTACTAGAATTTTAAATTCCATTTTGTATGGTTCATTTGAAAAACTTCTAATAAAGAGGATTTCAGGTTCTGATAAATCTGAGACTTTGAAAATGTTGAAAATTTCGTTAAATTTGTTCATAATTTTTCCAAAATAAGTACTTGATTATGCATTCTTAATAATTAACACTTCCGTTGTATTTTTACAATGCGTCTTATTGTAACAATTTTTTAACTTAGTTCGATAGTTTGTACTGTATGTTATACCTGGTTTAATTTCTGCATTTATATACACAAGTTAGTCAATTACTTTTTTGTATTTTATTTGTCCTTTGCAACATTATTATTTTTTTTATTTTCACAGTTACATTTTTTACGGTGTACTTTATGATGCATGACTCAATACGTTTTTCTTGATTTAGATCAATAACAGTATTTTTGTTTGCATAATCAATTTTAACACCAATATAATTTTTAACTTTTTCTCAATCGTTCTCTATAAATTTTTTGATAAGTTTTGTTTGTATGTTATTTTAATGTATTTTATTTACTTTTTACTACAGACTAACAACTCATCAAAAATATTAAAATATCTTCCAATTATTATTATTAGTATACAAACAAAAATCGTAATTACTCCTTATGAAATTTGGATCACCTATATTAAGGTAATTCTTAATACTTTTACTATTTGCGTTTTACCGACTGGTGAGCATTCGTTCTCTATGTACTTTTTCAATTAAAAGCCTACTACTTATAGTATTGTTTTATGTATATTTCTATTCTTATTTCTTTATTCCTATTTAACATTTAAAATTTATTTTTCTACTTTAGCCGTTTTTTTAAACATTTGGAAGTTTAATGCACCCTCAGTAGAAAAAATAGGGTCCGCCCCTGGTATGAAATCTACGATTATTTGTCAGTTTTTTCTAACAAATATCCTACCTATGATTTTTGATTAATGATGTTCATCCATAGAGATATTACTAATACAGTAGGAGAGTCGACTTAAAACTTGTCCTGTCTGTAGAAAAAGAGGGAAAATGAAGGGATCCATTATGTATAGATATACTTACAAAGTTTTCATGCTTTTAGGTGGGGTGATGGAAGATACTTTCATTCTCTGTCTTTCTGTTCCAACGAGATATTTACACTTATGCTACTCACTCCTCTACTCTATCAATAATATCTCTTTACGTTTATCACAGTTAGCGGGGGAAGTTCAGAGAAATGCAGGAAGCGCAAACATGCAGCAAGGTTAGGAATTTTTTTGCTGGTATGGAATTACTTATTTATACGCGTTTACGCATACTTCAACCATTATTTTTAATTTCATAAAAAATCTATCTTGTGGATCCAATAAAAAATATTATATAATGTTAATCTACTAGTAGTATATCACACAAAAAAATTACGAGATTTCTATACATTATTTCTTTAGAAATACAATTTTCCGTGATTCTTTTATAAGATTACATGCTCAATTCAGATTTTTGGAAAATGGGTTATGTAAAAAACGTTTCCATGAAATGATCTAAGATTTTTTATGATATGTTTTTATGGTAAAATAAATATTTTTTAAAAGTTTTACTTATGTCCATCAAGAAAAATCCTTAAATTTTTTTTTGCATTAAATTTGTTTTAGTATTCATTAATTATTGCAATTTTTTCCTTTTTTTAACTATATCGTCTTCAAAGCTGTTGCTAGCTCGTTTGCGTTCATATACTTTACGTATGTTATAA